CGTCTTCAAGTTGCCAAGGTTGAGAAACACTGGTCTAAACCCTTAACTGCTAAATGCAATACCGTACACTGATAGCCCTCCATGGGGTCAATTTTGGGGGGGGTGTATGAAAGGTGTTGCGTCCCCAAACTTTTTATTCAGCCCTTAAAACGTCTAACATCCCATTTCTATTGGAGTGCATTTTTACCTGGTATATAAAGGTTTCGGGGGCCACCTGTGTCTTGACTTTAGCCCAACCCTGCGGGGAAACAGAGGAGTTTGCACCCGTGCCCCCTCCGAAAACTAGTTTCTTGTGTGAACGCGACTTCTGAGTCTTTCCCAGATGTTGTGTGAATGTCGCCCTAGTACAGATTCACGCGTAGCATTCCCCCTTTCGCCAGGTTCGGCCCAAATGTGATGGGTTAGTTTGTGCTTCAGGGCATCACACCAACAAAGTCACCGTTTTAGCCCCTTGTGTTTCATAAACTAGGATTTAACCTGGTCTGTAAAGAAAGCCATAATATGATTTGTTTGGCGTTTGCCTTATTCTGTGGCTTAGTCAACAAAGTTCATACAAGCTTCGTGCACGTTTGAACCTGGTCTCAGACAATTGATCCACGGGGAGGTAGAAGAGATTCCAAATCTATGACGCCGGATCAAAATCTGTTGTTGGACCATCAAAACTTCAGTTTCAAGCATCTTATTTTTAAAGTATAAGTCTTGTGCAGCAAATAATAAGGCCCTGCCGTGTTTGAAAAAGCAACTTACTAGTTCTCAGGGAGATCCGAAGGGGCTGGTCAGAAGGCAGAAGGGAGCTGGAATTAGATTTCTAGACCAAATGGTGCATATCTTTTAAAATCTTCTGGAAAATGGATTTCAGAACTGCGTCCCTTTCCGATCCCGCTAAAATCTGTCTCCTGTTGCAGGGTTACACTCAAGACACAAATTCTTTTTTCATGGCCCGGAAGCTCCGTTCGCTGGGCGTGAAGGTGGCCAAGATCTCCGTGGTGCCGGACGAGGTGGACGCCATAGCCACCGAGGTTACGTCTTTTGCCAGCAGGTTCACTTACGTCTTGACATCGGGCGGCATTGGCCCCACCCACGACGATGTCACCTTTGAAGCCATAGCAAAAGCCTTCGGAGAAAAAGTCCAACCCCACCCAGAACTGGTGGAGCTAGTCAAGAAATTTTTCGGCAAGTCCCAGCCCGAAAGCCCCAAGATGAAGCTGGCTTGTGTCCCCGAGTCGTCCCTTCTTAATTACGGGGTAGACGAGAAGACAGGACGTACCTTCCCGTTCCCCCTCGTCAGCGTCCAGAACGTTTATATCTTCCCGGGCATCCCGTCGCTGATGAAACGGGCCCTGGATGGTCTCGGGCATCTCTTCCGCAATGAGAAGACCCAGTTTTACTCCCAGGAGATCTACGTGAACGCGGAAGAAACCCAGATCGCTTCAGTGCTTAACCAAGCCAACGCCAAGTTTTGGCCCCGCACCAACCTGGGCTCGTACCCTGATTGGGTCAGCAACTACCACCGAGTCAAACTGATCCTTGACTCTGACTCCAAAGGGGAGCTGGACAAGGTGCACGCTTTCCTGATGGAGAACTTGCCCCAGGGGGTAACGGTGCCCTTGGTGGCCAATCCCGTCTCCCGGGCTGCTACGGATGTCTACGGCTTGGCTGAATCCGGTAGGTAGCCCTATCGGCCGTACCGATGTACCTTTTGAGATAGGAGAACCAGTAACCCCCAGTTGGGGCCAAATTGCAACTCCCATCACTTCCTGCACCTATGCTGGAAGATGTAGTGTCAGCCTTCCCAGGTGGACCAGACAGGAAACATGACCAGATGAGCTAATTCTGCTTTATTGTAAGGCTACATTACCAGAATCATGCAAGTCTGAAAGTACAGTTCTCCTGCTGTCTCTTTTACAGCCTGGGAAACTAGGAAGGGTCCCTCCTGAATCTCTTTTTCCATCCGTTATGCAGCTGCGGGCTATGCTCCCTCTTATCTGACCGTTCCCTTGGCAGCGTCTCTTCGTCCCATCTCCCAAGGTCTTTCCCACGTACTATTACAGTTAGCAACCCCAAGAGACCCCTGGATTTCTGGCTCTTGTCAACCAAGATTTTGCTCACGGTACCTCCTCCTTCCTACTTGCAGGTTCTCCTCTTGGGCAGAAGGTGGCAGCAGCATTACGGACCATTGAGGAAAGCTTGGATAGCTACAGTCTCTCCAAAATCTGTGTTGGCTTTAACGGCGGGAAAGACTGCACGGCCTTGTTGCATCTGTGTTACGCTGCTGTGCAGAGGTGCCTCGCTTTCTCTGCTTTGGATCCTGGTTTTGCAAGGTTACATGCAGTGATACAAGACCAGCCTCCCAAGCAGTCATTAAAAAAAAAAAATCAGGAATCTTAAATTTCGGTACGCTTTAAAAAGAAGATGCAGGTTTCTAGTCCTCAGTGTTGACTTAAGGTCTGTATTGCCCATAAAGCTCGAAGTTCAGTCTTGCTGGAGGTTAATCCAGGAAGTTAAAATAGCGGTACCTGACCTGGCTTCCCCACACGGTTTGGTGTGTTCCAGCTCTGGTGGATTAAGGTCCCCAAACACCTGGGGATGATGGGGGTTGTAATCAAGCTCCAGCTGAGCTTGTGTGGGATCAGAGGCATCTTGACAGTTAGGTGAGCTCTCAATGCTGTTGCTAATTCTTCCTTTTTGCAACTTTTTCGCTCCTCCGTAGGCGATGTCCAGAGAGGCTGGAACAGCTGCAGGCTCTTTACGTCCGCATCGTGCTTCCCTTTCCGGAGATGGAAGAGTTCATTCAAGACACGGCTCAGCGGTAGGCACCGAGGCTTCCTCTCGGGGCACTTCTTGACTCTACATAAGGGGAAATTTTCAGAGGCGTTCATTTTCACCACAAAATGCTGTGCAAGTGTAATGGCATGTGGGAAAGACCTTGGGAGACGGGGTGAAAAGACGCTGCCAAGGAACGGTTAGATAGAGATGGCTTAGCCCTCAGCTGCATAATGGATGGACAAAGAGACTCAGAAGGGACCCTCCCTAGTTTCTCCGGCTGTAAAAGAGATGGAGGGAGACTTGTACTTTCAGACTTGCAAGATTCTGTCAATGCAGCTTTGCCATTAATTAGAATTAGTCCATCTGGTTGTGTTTTCTGTCTGGTCTACCTGGGAAGGCCGACAGAAGCTCAGCAGCCTTCCTGCATTCAGGCAGAACTGCAGTCCCATCCACCAGTCCACGGGCTCGAAAGGGCCAGCCCGTCCCGATCCCTGCAGGGAGGGGATTCCAAGAACAGCCTCCTGCAGAAGCCGGGCGCTTTGCGGTCTCTCGTCTAACCCTCCCGGGGACTCTTCCCGCAGGTACAACCTTCGCATTTGCGTGGTCCACGGGAACATCAAAGAGGCTCTGGGCGTCCTGAAAACTCAGCAGCCGGAACTGGAGGCCGTGTTGATGGGGACCCGTCGCACAGATCCCTATTCGTGCACCCTGACGCCTTTCTGTATGACGGACCCCGAATGGCCCCAGTATATGCGGGTCAGTCCTCTGCTGGTAGGTCCTGCCTTGGCTGGTACTAACAGAGCTCGTTTGAAGATAGTCTCTCTCAAATCAAATCTTTATTAGGGTCAGCAACCAGCCTATTGATGAGACTATAATTTTCAGGGATTTGCAGGGCGGAAGGAGCCAGGAAGGGTGATTTCAGCCCAGGGTTTGGGGACCCAAAGTCTCGTGCCTTGGCCCCACGGTAGGTTTTTGGCCTTCCAGAGAAGTTTATCTGCTGACCACAAGTCCAAGCAATTGACCATTAGGTTAAGGATCTACACATTTCTCCCATTTACCCACCTTTTTAAAACTGCTACTGTCTTGCTTGGCAATAATGGTGTGTTCTGCGATAGCATGTCCAGCCTTGTTCCTGGGTTCCCTTTATTTTTCACAGAGAGATGGTGCTTGAACACTGTTTTTTTTTTGTTTTTTTATTAGCTGCTTTAAAGAAAATATGTCAAGTGTTTAAAAAGAGGCACGCCAAAAGAATGAGGGAATGAACTGCAAGTGGGTAAACCAGGGATTTAGAAATGTCCCGTTTAACGCTTTCGTTCATGGGTTATCAATCATTATGTCCTATTCCTTTAAAAGTCTAAGAATCGCTCTTAAACTGGAGGCTCTCGAGAACGGTGATCAACCCAGTCTAGATCACCCGACACAATTATGAGCGGTAATAAACTCAGTTCACCTTACTAAGAATCTATATTCATTGAGGTAACCTGAAAAACCAAAATATAGATCTCACGGGTAGAGAAAGCCACATTTTGGAGATGTTTTCAATCCATGGATTCAGTTACAGTCTGTTTCTCAACCGTGGCGACTTTTAAGATGGGTGGACTA